CCCGGTATGCCCGATGGCCAGTCCAGCGGTGGTCATGCATAAATTAGTGCAGACCTCAACTTCCTGCAAATGAGGAGTGGCAACCGTGATGGCCTGTCTCTCAAAACACACCTGAGCCTTACCAGAAGCATTAAAATGACTCATCCTGTGGACAAGTACTATTACACAGAAGCATAATTGATGTGTTTGCACTAAAAAACTTCAGCAGACGTTGGCATTTGGTTTGATATTCCTCCACTGGGCTCGTAAACATCAGTGATTTCAGCACTTTCTGGATCGATGGTGTTAGCTCGTTATGTGGACTCCCTGCCTGTATGGGATGTATTGTTTGTGTTGGCTACATCACACTGTACACATTGTGCTTCACACATTGGACCTGACAATAGACTCATTACAGAAGCTACAGAGTGAAGCTGCTCTCAGTCTTACAACGATACACAAAGGGGATCTCATGTTGCATCTAAATGCATTTCAGGTAAATTTAATGCAGCTATGATTTTATCAAGTTTCATTTGTGCCTCCTACTCAAGTCTGGGCAAACCACTCAAAATCAATAAAATTGCATTATGTATTATGTAGTTGTTCACAATTTCCTCAGATTCATTAATTTGGACAACAGAACTCTGTAAAAATGATTAGAATATGGTTCCACTGATGCCAATAAAGGATGGATTATCACCCAGACCAATTCATGTTAAGATATCACGCCCCATATGGTCATGTGTGGGGCATTGAACTTCAGCTACCAGCCAGTAAACAGCCATTTGGCAGCATAAAAAGCCACAGCGTACTCGAATAATCAGCTTCTCTTACAGAACAATCGACAGAGCTTTAACATTTAAAAACACTTTTATTGCAGCGGCCCCAAACTTCATTAAACGTCCCTGACATGCACGCTCAGCATAAAAAGCTCCCCGCATGAATAAAAAAAAGTAATAAGAGAGTATTGGACTTGCCAAGGGAGAGCGAGTTGAGGCTGGCACTGGTGTCTGGTCTGACTGTAGTTTGAAAAGGGCACCACATATGAGCTACTGTGACCAATTACAGCTGCTGTACCGTTCAGCTGTCAGAGCAGGTGTCGCGAGCGTGACGGCCCGCGCATACATTAATCAAACAGATAGAAAATGTGCAAAAACATCTCAGTAAATTTCGAATCTCGGTGTGCTATGTTTGTACTCAGTTGAGCCAAGTGACAGCAAAAATATGACGCTAATAACTGGAATTTTGGCAGTTTGGAGAACTGTTTCAAGCAGCAATCCTAAAATATGAGTGCTGATACTAAACTTGCCTTTCCACCTCTTAGTATCTGGAAGTGATGGTGAGAGGAAATCATTCACTCATGGCAGTATGTTCCTCCATGTTAGGTCCAGGTTTCTCTGGAAGAAAACTCATTGTCATAGCCTTGGTCATTCATTTAAACTCTTTACCTACATTTAATATTTATAAATATATAACATATATTCAATAGATTACTTGTTGCCATGTGATTAATGACACTTTTTTTTTTCTTTTTCTGAGAAGCAACTCCATTCTTCTATGGAGAAAAAATTTATGCCTGACTGCCCGAGAGAGTGGCTGATCTCTCCATTGGAAATAGTGGCCTTGCTCTGCACAATATACTGTAACTATCGCTTTTGTTGTGAAAGTCCCGTTAGGTATTAATCACTGCATGCATGCATGCATATTATTGTCACTGATAAATGAACTGTAGACTTAAGTTTGTTATGTAAAAGGACCCCTGTGGACAAAACCACCAGTGTTTCTACGACCTTGTTTTATTGATTTTAATCTGAACCGGCATTTTTGGTTGTTTATGTGGGTCATATAGAGGCATCAGTATTACATTGAGACAGTTTCATAATTAGCTGAAAACTTCTAGTAATACATAAATTAAGCTTACTTTTGATTGGACACGGGGCACCAACAGGGCTCTCCTGGGTGGAAGTCTTTTGTTTGTTAGACCCATCCATCCTCCCTGACCTGCTGGAGCTGCACCTCCATACAGCTAGCTTACCAATAGATGATAACGACATAGGGAGCCAGTTGGGAGGTAAAGTAGATCCATACTTCCTTAAATTGGTCTCTTCTACAGAAACAGCCATGTTGAACCATGACCATTTTTACGGGAGTTTCACAGCCATCATAGTTTCTCCTACATGCTTGCAAGGCGAGTGGTATTGTTGCAATAACTCCACTGCTAAGTGCCACTAAATCCTACACACTGGTCCGTTAAAAGGAGAGTGAATACACCCCTATCTAGAATTAGTGTCTGCTTTGTCCCTTCTGGGCTGTCCAGACCTTTAATGTATTGTTGTGATTTGTAACTTATAGTACAGTACTGTATCTGTATTACAAAAAATCAATTGACCCCACCTATCTTCATACACATTTCCATGACATTTAAAAACGTCTATTAATCATACTATTAGGAATGATGGTGACTATTACCACAAACACAAATTTTGATATCATGACAACTCAAACCTCAGGATAGGATGAACATTTTGTCCCTTTCACCACACAGGGGCAATGTTGCTACATAAGTGTAAGTCAGAGCTCATTGTGCAAAGAGGTAGCAATACCCTGTGCTCTGTGCAAAATAGTACCACGTTACACTGTGATCAAAGTTAAGATGACACAGAGCCATCTGGTAACCGAGGGCCGGCTTGGTGGAAAATCTGTTCTCTGTGGCCTGTTTTGGTTTCGTCAGGTGAACTGGAAGGAATTTGTAAGAACAGGTTAAAGAGAGACAATAACGGGTTTACAGCAAACATCAAGATAAAGAGGAAAAAAAGAGAATTTGAAACTTTTATGATTCAGAAAATGACATGCAATCCTATAAGAAAGATAGTCTGCATCCACTTGCACATGCACACACATGCTTGCATGTTTGCACACGTGCATCCCATGAACTTATGCAAATGCAATTAGGGTAGTTTTAATAATGCATGACAGCGGATTCATTTTTAATTCTGCCTAATTCACACCTAATGGCACTTCCTGCGCCTCATAACCTTGGAGGCACACACACACCCGCACATACACACTCTGCATTTCGTCTGTAAGTTGATCATACATGTCTGTGTGTTAGTGTGTGAGCGTTCCAACATTTCTGCAGTTCACACCTTCCAGCACATCTGCTC